ATTTCTTACGTGTAACTATGTGCACTATTTTGCAAATAATAGCAATGCAAATGACTTTGGTGACGTCATCTTCAAGGCGCCCTACTTTTATATGGATATAATGTCAACTTCGCACAATTTGTACTTTCAAATAATATTCATTTATTCAATCACGTACAATTTTCCACGATTCGAAATTACATTCGAATATTGTAAGAGAAATATACGATTTGTTATTGTCATAAATTTTTCCCTTTGGAAATATCAAGGTTATTAATGAATTACTAATGACGGATGCGTTCTTCATGACTAGACTACGGATGTTTGTGCAATCTCTTCTTTTTACAAACTCAATTAAAGAAATGAAATGCAAATGAAAATGGAAATCACTTACTGAATACTGAACAATTTTTTATGCAAATTCATACGTTTAAAAATGTAATTGAAAAGGAGGATTTCGATAATAATAAATTAGAGATTTAGTTATTTATAGAAATTAGAAATATTAGAAAAATTAATTGCTAAAAATTAGGATATTATAGACGTTTAGATATTTTGTATATATTTTCATATTACGTGCATTATCTGCGATGTTTGTGGATAAAAAATTTTGTGTCAAAGAATGAAGATAGAACTAAGTGTGTAAAGAATTGTGAAAAGTTCATAATAGACAACAAAGAACACAAACTTTCATTTACATATTTTACAAGAAAATCATCAAAATCTCTAAAAATGCATTGTTGCAAATCTGTAAAACTTGTCGGAAAAATTGCAAATTAATCATTTCGATCGTTCTGCTTAGATGAAATAAAAGTCTTATAATTAATACTCTACTTTAGAGAGTTTTTTTTTATATTTGCGCGTATTGTGCATCGTTTTTAAGTCTTAAATTTTTCAAAAATGTATAAACATTTGCGATCTATTCACGACGAGTCATTCTTTAAATTTTGGACCATCGATCGATCTTTTTTGGATGGTTACGTCCGTTCAGTGAGGGGGACTCTTGATATTCGTCTCGTACTCAGACTCACGTCATTATACTTTGGCCATACTCTATCAAGAATTCCAGGCGTCTCTCGTGCCAGACACCGATCGTGTCGAAGAAATTCATTTCGAAGTAACGAAGCACGAGGTTCGCGTGAGTCGATGACTGTGGGAGGCAACGAGATGTTTCCTTCGAATCCGACGAGATTCACGTTGGGGCTCGTACGTCTTAATTAAACATTTCAACTCGAACTTCGCTTCAAATCTTCTGTGACAGGTGTGTCGAAGTGATTTTCCCTTGAATTTTCTCAGTCGAAGGAAATTGTTTTGTGAGTTAAACTATCTCACGAAGGTTGTTAGGAATCTCAGGAAGCTTCTTAGATTTAGCTACTGGTTAGAGTTTATAAATCTCAAAACGTTCAACAAAAGTTTACTTTTAAAGTCCTCTGTGACAAGTGTCGACTCGAAAATTTCAATTTTCTCACGTACATGGGTCATCGACTGCAGAAAGACAATCATCGCCACGATTCGCTAAACCACCAAGGAACGATGTTAAGAGCGTTCGCGGTTATTTCACTTTTATCATTCGTGCAGTGTATCATTCCATCGGCCATCCTGCAGACTGTCTACGAATTTCTCTCCAGAATTCCAACCGTGGACAATGACGTAGTCGGCGACGAGACGTCCATGTCCAAGGAGTACGACTTCGTCGTAATTGGAGCTGGTTCTGCCGGGTCAGTGCTAACAAATCGCCTGACGGAAAATCCCGAGTGGAGCGTGTTGCTGTTGGAAGAGGGCAGGGACGAGATATTCCTCACTGATATACCATTGTTAGCCCCGGTTTTGCACATCACGGACTACGTTCGATTGCATAAAAGCGAGCCAAGGCCTCAAAATGAAGATGGAACTGGTGGCTACTGTTTATCGATGAACGAGGGTCGTTGCAATTTACCGGGTGGTAGAGCTGTCGGTGGTAGCTCGGTAGTAAATTTCATGATATATTCGAGAGGATCGCCGGCGGATTATGACGCCTGGGCCGCGCAAGGGAATCCAGGGTGGAGTTATCGGGACGTGTTGCCGTATTTTATCAAGTCGGAAAATTGCAAACTCTTGGATCAGGATGTTAGGTATCGTATTCACGATGAAAATGAAGTGCATCAGCGCTGATAAAATTCTGCTTTTTTTTTCCTTTAATATTCGGGTTGCTACATTATATACTATATATTTCTAATATTTTTTAAAATTTGAGGAAATTCCAAACATTCGCTTTATTTACCAATAAGAAGAACATGTGATTGTGTGATAACACTTTGTTGCAGAATATAAATTGTGCAATATGTTTTACTTTGTTAAACATACACTGCATGTGAGCGCAACTAACACTTTCCTCAATAGAAACGAAAGAACGTCTGCGAAATGGTGTCGCTTCCAGTCCTCGGACTGGATTGTTGAGAAATCATGACTGTTTTGAAAAATAATCACGTCTCTATCCTCAAGATTTCATGCGTTTACGGCAGCAATTCGTTACAACGAATACGCACCTTCAGCGTTCGAAATAAATATTTCAGTTGTTCAGACTTGAAGAGTTTTAATTTCTTTGAAAGAGATCTTCGACAACGACTATTTCTTTAAACTTGTTGATCAGCTCGGAAATGACTTGAGCAAAACTTGAAAGCGCTTAAGAAGATCCTTGATGCTTCGACAAAATATAATATACAATGTAATAAATAATTCTTTTCACTTTTCCCTCAAACTCGCGTAACGTTTCTTGACGACAGAGAAACACAATTGGCCCCGAAATGGCCAAGAACGAATTTTAGGGTTGAAATTCATAGCATTTCAGCATAAAAATCTACAAATAAAAAGCAAGGCAGACGTCAATGATAAAGCTAAACGGTAAAAGTGATACTAATTGAACGAGCCGGTGCAGCTCGGTGCTAGAAAGTGGCGGCGGACTAGTATGCGCTATTGCAATGTTTGCTCAACAAACGTTTAAGGCAGCGAACTTGAGTAACAGCCGATTAGATTCGTTCGATTTCGACATTGCGCCTCGTCTGACACGTTTTGACACGGTTCTTCTTATCAGATTTCATGGCCACGGAGGATATCTCGACGTAACGTCTCCGCCGTATGTCTCCCCTCTGAGAGACCGTTTCCTCCAAGCCGGCGTGGAACTGGGATATGACATAATCGATTACAATGCAGACGAGCTTATTGGCTTCTCGACGGCACAGGTTCACTTGCGGAACGGTCACAGGGTCAGTGCCAGCAAGGCATTCCTAAAGCCTATCCGCGACAGGCAGAATTTCCATCTGTCGAAGCTGACCAAAGCGACGAGAATTCTCGTCGATCCAAAGACGAAAGCAGCTGTGGCTGTTGAATTTATTAAGAACGGCAAGACGCGGTTCGTCTATGCCAGGAAGGAGATAATAGTTTCAGCAGGTAACCTGGGAAAGCTGTTTCCATTATTTTAACATTAACACATTGCGGATGGATTATAACGAATTTCACGGTCCGAGTGGAAGAACAAGAAAGAAGAATATTGATTGACGTCTTTTAAGAGAGAAGTCAACAAAATTCCAGGATCGTGTGATAACACAACAAATACAATTTCCGTCGTTTAAACAGAGCCTGGTCAATTTTTTTTTTTTTTTTTTTTTAAATAAGATACGACAGTTTTAAAATAACGTAACACGATAAATTTTGTTGTTAACATTTCCATGTTGTTAGAAAGGCAGTAAAGGTCTTGTTTCATAAATTATGAATTGAAGGACACACGAAAGTAGGAAACATTCGTGCATCGTTCGGAATGTGTTAAGATCGTTAAACCGTTACGAAATATTGTTTGATAGTTTCTCACACCTTACACTTCGTTCAGGTACTTTGAACTCGCCACAGTTGTTGATGCTCTCAGGGATAGGGCCAAAGAGTCATCTCGAGTCGTTGAACATCAACGTGATCGAGGACCTACCGGTTGGATACAATCTTCAAGATCACGTCAGCATGTCGGCACTGACTTTCCTCGTGAACGAGAGTGTGACTATAGTGGAACCTCGGCTAGTCTCGAATCTAGCCAATACCGTGGACTATTTTGTTAAAGGAACCGGGCCATTGACTGTGCCTGGAGGAGCTGAGTGTCTCGCGTTTATCGATACGAAACAGGATTACCCGGAGGCTTCGTCGAAGAAGTTTCAAGTGAATAATAGCAACTTTCGTAACAAGAAACGCTTGAAAAGATATAATATAAACAAGAGAGGTAAATCCCGTTTTCGAGGCTATCGATGAATCCACGATAGATTGCGGATTTTTATGCAGATTCGTATTTCGACTTTTGCTCGAATGATTTGACGTTGAAGTATTTCGTCGAATTTTTGATACGTAAAAGTACAGATCAGAGTAACACTCCTACGCATATTATGTTGCTCACAATAATTATTACAAGAGGAATTTCCATAACACAATTTCACAATTATTTACTTTAAAGAGCATTACATACGTATATACGTAGAGCCTATCTTTCTGGAAAGTACGCGATATATTGTGAAAAGTATA